TTTTTTTTTTTTTTTTTTGGGGGGGGGGGGGGGGGGGATATTTAGGCGATAATATGACCCAGAAATGCATTTGCTAGCGATCATAACCACTTTAGAGGACTCCTTGGTTAGCAAACTTTGTTTTTTATTTTTGTCATCTTGCACACAAGTCCGTGTATACATGCATCTGCCTCGACAATACTTTGATTGGTTCCCACCACCTGAATAGATAGCACTTTGAACTATGTAATTCATTTGCAAATCTCAAAAAATAAAAACAAAAACGTACCATGTACATACATATGACACGATCATATGTGTGATGGTCGAAAGTCCAACTGTTCAATACTCCAATAAGCTAAAAAAAGTGAGTTGGGGAGAGGTTGGCAAAGTGGCTGGTCCATGTTCATTGCACTATATACCAAAACAGAAAAGGTGAATGCATGGCCATGGAGACATGAAACCCGGTTGTGGTCACATATCAACTCCAACGCTCATGCACAAAAACGATGTACAAGCTTATTTTCAAGGATGGATGAGGAATATAAATGATAAAGATCTTGGAAAATAAGGGATTGCATGACAAAATTTCACTGTGCATTGACAAGACCTCCATCCATGCATGGTAAAGCAGGATCGATCGATGCATCAAAAGAAAGCTAAAAAGATGGTTTAGGTCAAATTGGCCATGAACACACCAAGTTGACAAGCACCATTAATGTCACAAATATCACTAGAGGAACACCTACCTACCTGCAAAGAGCCCTTATCCTCTCGTCACAGTTCATACGTCACTCCCCAATCCATTCTTTCGTTTGATCATGATTTTTAGATCAAATTGAAGCACATACCAAAATAAAAAAAATTTCATTGCTTAGAATAAAAGAAGAGAGGCTGTAATTGCCCTAATCTGGACAACGTGTTTTTGATTGGACCAGAGAGAAAATAAGTTGAGATGTGCATAATTGAGGCGGACATTTCTGATCGTTGAAAAAAAAAAATTACCCTAGAAGGCTCTTGGCAATTGCCATTGGTCTCTTTTCCCAACTTGCCTATCTCTCCAACATAACATATCAAACAAAAAAAAATTACGCAATTTAACACAGGGCCATACATACAACACACTTGCAAGATTGGAAGGAATATCTGTGCGGGCTTGATCCTGCACGATATATAAAATATTGGGAACAGATCTCTCCCCTGGTGAACTTTGGGTGAGCCGATTGAGTGGCCAAACACACTGCTAGAAATAGCTTACGATCCTGGGAAAGGAGGAATGATCCTGTACGTGCGAAAGGTATTTCCTGGGACAAAAGAGAACAAGTTAGAAGGGCGCCGGAGTGTTTTCCGGCGTATCCCCTCCGACGGTCTAGTCAGTCTTTGAATGAAAGAGAGGAAGGAGAAAACACTGAGAAGGATATTTCGTAGTAGAGAGTTTGTGATTGCATACCCCTTTGCCTTTTTGGGAGGGGTATTTATACCTTAGAAGCTCATGATTGCTGTCAGTGTGGTCAGTAGGTGATCATCAGGCACAGGTAGCGTGTGTAATCATTTGATGAGGAATGTCTTCTCTAATTGACTGCTCGGGGTCCCGAGCAATCAATGGTGAGTTGTCGGGACGCCGACGGTACAATATGCTCCTTTCGGGAAGGATGCAATAAATGCTCTGTAATAGGAGCATTTATTGCCTTTCATATCCGAACCTTACCGCATTAAATGCGGTCTCGTCAACAGAAGGGTGTAATTAATTGTTTGCTTTCCCAAGTCGCGTGCCAGCAGCGGCATGCGGTTTGTCTGCTTCGGATGTGACATTATTTGCCACGCGTCCATCCCTTATTGGCTGTTACGTCGGTATTCCAGCACGTTCTGACATTACTTGTGTAAGAAGAGGTCATGATGAATAGTCCATACTGGCATAGGCTGATGTCCAGTTTGTCAGTAGCTTTATCCGGGAGTAGAGGAAGCGTCCAGGATGGAGTGACCCTCGGCGCCGAGGAAAGGCTCACCTCGGGGGACCAAGGGGTGGTGTGTTCCCGAGGTACATGGTGACCGAGGACACATGTCATTGTATAATGTACCGAATATGTGATCCTATATGAGAGGTACCTCGGGGGAGAGGACGCTTTTGCCGATGGTGCTTGAACCCGAGCAACATTGTTCTAGAAACCCCCGAGGACACGTGTCTTCATCATAGGCTTTTTCAGAAGAGTCCCATCAACTGCCCCCCAGCCTTCGATCTTCTGACGCCGAGGACACGCGTTGTCAGGAGACGAAGGATTTTCCAACTGCTATCCGTCCTTCATTATGGCCTCGAGCAGCTTTCCCCGTCTTGGGATGTCGTGCGCATTAAATGCGCCGTTTTGGTTCTCCCGTCCAATGATGACAGTTTTNCGGTACGTCTCGATTTAAACCCTCGGGGAACTTCCTCGGGTTTTCAATAGAGCACCTTTTCCTTCCCTTTCTTTTAGAGATGCCTCGTCGTCGCCCTGTTCCCGAGAATCCATCGGCTGGTCCCTCGGGGTCAGGGAAATACAAGGTGACAGGCGAGGCGCAGATCGATAGGTTCAGGGCGAAGTATGGCATCCCCCCGAGCGTGGACGTAGTGGGCTTTAACCCTTTGTTGAACTCTCCTACCTTCGGGGCCGCGGATGCCATGCCTTTTTATACCAAGGCCATCATAGAGGGTGGCATTAGGTTTCCTTTACCCCCCCTGCTTCTTCAGTTCCTGTCTCGCTTCCGTCTCTTCCCCGGGCAATGCTGCCTCAACGTCTTTCGGATAATTATGGGGGTCCTAGAGCTCAATAGGCGCCTCGGGGTGAATATTGGGCTCAATGATCTCCTTTTCTGTTACTCCCTCCTAAGAGTCATGCCTCACCAACACTTCTACCTCAAAGCCAGGGACCCCTCCATGTACCTTGTAACCCATCTTCCTGATTCGGACAAGGGGTACAAGGACGACATCTTGATCTTCAAGGGATGTTGGGAGAGGGGTGTCGGTCCCGAGTACAATGACTTATTTTGCCCTCGGGAATGGAGAACGACAAGTACGTCGGTTCCTTTGGGTTCTTTATTTGTTTCTTGGGACTTCTCATGTTCATGACAATCTTTTTTGTTTGTGCAGGTATTCCTTCTCGGGAAACAGCTCCGCCCCCTCGGTCGCTGGTCAATTTTGCCGACCTAATAACGGTTTGGAGTTTCACAGGCGCCGACAGATTTGGCCGAGCTGCCCATAATCTGCTGCACTATACCCCCGGGTATAAGAAGTTCTCACAGCTCCCTCAACCTTTCGAGCCTTCGCAGTGGTCAGAGCTCTTTGATCAGGCGGCGAGGCTAGAGGTCGAGCAGAACTTGGAGGAAGACCCGGATCGGGCTTCAGAGGGAGAGGTAGAGGGAGTTG